ATGAGAAACAACTTTCATGATTAAGCAAGTTACGAAAATGGAATGATAAGACTTGAGTTCCGATTGCATTTATATTGTTTCGAAAATGATAAGGAGATTCCACTCAGTATTTGCCTAACTATATTTCACCACTGTGACATATTTGCTTGAAAGCCTTTATTTTGAATGTATTTTTGTCACCGGATCACAAGAAACTGAATGACTTTTTTGTTATATATGGTGTATACTATAATTCGAAAATAGTAGGCACTAAATTTACAGAAATTATTGTCGCTTTTGCCTTAATGTCTCTTGCAGTGGCGTACGGAAATTTTACTAAACAGATGAGGAAAACATGATGATGAAATATATAGAATCACAACTTTGACAACAGTGTTTCCGTTTTAATGGAATAATATTTCTGATAATTCAGTGTCTATATTATGAAATAGTACTATGAGTGCATCAGTTTTCACATATACGCCATTCAGTATTAATTAACATCGGAAACTCAACAACTACAGATATAAAAAAATCCCAAATTCTTTTGACGTTTAATAACATGTTTAATAACATTTCATTGAAATGATGACTTCTTATGGGAGGGTAAACCGCTTGGTAACGTAACGCATAACAGAGCCAGTATGTCTGGCTTCCCTTTCTCCTCACTCTAACATACAGCGCTAGTCGTATCAAGGACAAACTATTCTCTCGCCACTTATTAGTATGACACCTATTAGGTGGTTTCATTTATGTCTCGCTTGCGTTTACGCAGTTATTTTTATTAAGTACTTTTCTTGGTCATTCACATTTTGTCTTCAATCGAGGACCACCGCCTGCCCGGTACTCACGATGCCCAATAGTCTGAAACAGCTATCTACCTGTGAAATTAATATGGGAATGATCAGAATAGTACTTATCTATTTATCTTTTGATTTTCATGGAGTTATTTTCCAACAGCTTGACTGCATTAACTTTTTCATGTCATTTATAGAAACATGCATATTTGTTTACCGATGGCATTCCAGGTTAGCTTCCCAAATTTCTGCTACCGCAGTTGTCGGTTGATTGGTCAAACCAACACTGACATAAAAACTTGGCAAGTTGACTTGGGTGTCACACCAATAGGTGGTTCCACTTATGTTTTTTCGCTTGCGTTTACGCAGCTATTTTTATCAAGTACTTTCTTGGTTTTTTCTCATTTTGTCTTCAATCGAGGACCGCCTGCCCGGTACTGACGATGCCCAATAGGCTGAAACAGCTGTATACCGGTGGCTCTTAAATTGAAATCAATATGGGAATGATCAAANTAAAATACAGTTTTGTGAAACTATGTCTCACATATTCAATGCCATCCCAAGCGATGAATGTTCATTTTTAATGGATGAATGCCAAAACAGTGACGATAACCCGCTTATTTTTTCACAAGAGAATACACATCCTGGATTAAATTATCGCCAACAGCATATGCAGGAATAACTTCACTGACATTTGTCGGATATAATCCAACACCCTTCGTAGTATTAGTCAGGGGAGTAGTTGTATTCTGATAGATGTCAGTCCATTAACCTACAGTGTAGGTAACTGGAGACTGGCTTCAACGAATTGTTCTTTCAGATAATTAAATATTCAAGTTTGGGCTGATTTTTTTAATGCAATTACTGCTTTTTATTTCTTGAAAAAAATAACAGGTGATCAGATAGGGTATTTTTCACAGGACATTACGATACGAGAGATTTTCAGATAGATGAATTAGCAGGAAAAAAGCAAATGGGGAAATGAGAAGTTCTCAGGGTGGAGAACATAGTGAAGTTCCGTAGTTGACGAATGAGAAAGATTACGCTAGTTTTCTATTGAGGAGGTCAGTGTGACTATTCCATGTCAGTTTATCATCGATAGTGGCACACAGTAGTTTAACATTTTAATCATGTAAATAATTAAAATTAGCCGGTAGCCGGTCGGGTTGACGTGGGTGATTTGCTCCACTCACTCAATCGACCGCTGTGTTAACTGGTGGGTCAAGCCGCGAGACCGGACGATCGATTTTCACATGCTATCGGCCAATTTGTGTTAGGAATCACACGTTGAAAGGTTAGTTCTTAGCTTGCACGAGTTTCGACTTTTGATTGTTGTCGTTCGTAGGGGGCGACAACTGGTTAACGGAAAAACATATTTTGAGGTCTAGTTTATCTCAAACAATAATTCGAAAATAACTATTCAATTTGAGTTTGTTGAAGGTTAACTAATTTGCGGCCGTGTCTTCAATCATTCTAGATTTATTCAGTAACGTATTGTGATTATAATCTGAGTATACTATAGTATGCATTTATATAGATGCAGAAAAAGAGAGAAATTGTCATGACTATGTTTTCTTTTCTTAAGACCTCCAACTATGTTGCTTACGGCCTTAAGCAGAGCCATCACTTTTGTTTTATTTTTGAAATTTATTTGTAACGAACTGATTTTTTTAGAAAATGCAAAAGAACCAACAAAGAAAAAACAAACGAATTTCTTTCTTTTATTCAAGAGTTGAAATCGTACCCTCTAATATTTCTGTAATTTTTCATTACAATACCGGTTTAAGTGATAACCTAAAAACCATCAGGTTCTAATTACTCTGTAATTTTTGAACAAGAGTTTTCGGAAATAACTGGTTAAATAATAATACATTAGATTACCATTAAAAAACGTTTGAAGAACATCATAGAAATAATTGTTTGATTTAATCTTTCCTTTGTCAATATATGAAATATGGATTTCCATATTTTAATTTCAATACCTTGATTCAGAATTTTTTCATCGCAGTTTTGAGAGGTTTTCCAAACAATTTCTACATTTTATCTACAGTTAATTTCTGTTTAATCAATATTAATGAGAGAAGATCTAATCTCAGGAAAGTGTTAACCCTCATGATGGAGGTCAGAGACGTAAAAGGTTACAATATATCTGCTAAATGAGGGTATTATCTAGCTATATGAAATTCAGGCAGGCATAAGAATGAAAGGGTTATCGCACGAGCCATTTTGAGCATACGAGTAAGCGTTGCTGATGTTTCAGAAAAATAAAATAAAATGAATTCTCTCTCATCGAGGTTATTCGGAAACATGGCCAATTTTACCGTCTAGTCTTGTTGTGACACAATAAAAATATTCAGCTAGATAATTTGTGTGTTCTTTCTGATTTCTGATTAATTAAAAAAAGTATGAGGAAGAACTGATTTATTTCCGTTTCAATTACAAAATCGACGAAGAAAACTCTGGAAATTGCACTCAGAATTGTGTTATGACAATTGAATATCTTGATCTCAGTTCCTATGCATCCAAAAGAAGCATAGTATCTTTAAATATTTTCAAAATGTTATATTTTTTTGTTTTGAAATTTGTAGGCCAAATTGATAATAAGAAGTAATACTCACAAGTTGGATGCATTCTTATCATAATTTTTTTCAAAACCAGTAACAATTCTGGGCGTATTTAGTAATTTGTCTTTAATAGTAAGGGTAAATCAATATCAAACAGACGTTGAAAAATTGTAGTTTTTCCAATAATGAATTGCGATAGTGATATTATAATTTCGGAGAACTAAAGTCACTTTTAAAAATGTACGTAAGTTATGATTAATTTTTCTATCACACCATTTTCTATGGTTTGGGTAAAGCTTGTGTTCCAATTGACTTCATCAATTCTATATGCTGTAATCACAAAAGATAAGTGAAAAGTTGTTATGTTTGTGAAACACAGAATAACTATTCCATTCGGAATAGAAGTAATGTATAGCAATATGTAAATGTATGTACTTTTATGAACCTTGATAACATTAGTACATCATTTCAAAAAGCAATATGTTATGCTGACGGTGTCGTTGAAAGGCAATTTAAATGACATCAATCGTTCCAGCGAACAGATATTTTCAAAGATTTCCCAATCAATTAGACCACTGAAAGCATTTCCTCAGAAAAATCCTCTTTCAGGACGGATGAAATTCGTTTCTAGATCAAATCTGAATTTTAATTTGAGCACAGTGGGTGTTTCCACGAGTTTAATTCAAAAATGTTTGAGAGCAAATGAATTCATATTTTTGCACCTTTTTTACAGTGTCCCTTTGAAAAACGTATTAAAGAAATGTATTTCGACAACCAACGAAGATTTTCAGATATAAAGTTAACCTCCACACGAGTGGAGATTCACATCCAGAATGCTGGAATTTGGGACTCACTAAAAAGAAATATGTAATTTGTGTTTTGTTGCCTGTCAAAGTAACTATGAATTTGTGATGAATTTTTTTTGTTGCAACCTAGTTTAGTAATTTCCACAGGTAGGTATGGATTTCATGAGAAACTACACATCTCATTTCCTGTATATTTGTATTATGCAAAAAAACATGTTGTACACAGAGTATCACATTCGAAGTGTGTTTTATATTTTGATATTTCATAGTGAAACTCACAGACAAACAATATATAGTAGATTTAATGATATATCATTGTATTATCAAATTAAAACCACCTGTTCCTCGAAGAGGAAACCACGTACATGATTCAAAAAGACATTTGACATGTAATCCAATCCCGCATGCGCTGTATCAGCCAATTACGGGGCTCAAAATCGAATTGACATTCGACATCAACAAAATTGTTCGATCTGTGACATAAAACCTTAACCCTGTTGCCAAATGATTTTGGGCAATGTCTGGCTGTAGACATCGCATGTTTAGATTCCATTACACTTTAAAGCCAAGTAATTTTTTATTTAAACAATATCTGGAACAATTTTTGAGAAAACTTATCCTAATGGATTTTATATTAAACAATAATAATGAAAAAAGGATGATACAGCGCATGCGGGATTGGATTACATGTCAAATGTATTTTTGAATCATGCACGTGGTTTTCTCTTCGAAGAACAGGTGGTTTTTAATTTGATAATACAATGATATATCATTAAATCTACTATATATTGTTTGCCTGTAACGTCCTGAGTTTCACCATACTAATTTTTCATATATGTTACGTCCATATTTCATTCAACCTGCCATATAACCTCACATACACTGTAAGTTGTTTTAACTCATTATTTTATAAATATGATTGCCTTTTACTCTTTTCGTAGCATCCCTGATGATGATAATAAAGATTATCGAAAGCTTGGAATCTGTGTTATGAGAGTACACTAAATTTTGGCCTGCTGCATACCCAAATATTGTTTCACTTATTTTCTGACTAGTCAGCAAAAAGTACTTCTGGATGTTGCACCAG